GGTAGAGATGCAAGTCTCACTATGTTGACCAGATTGGTCTTGAGCTCCTGGCTTCAAATTATCCTCCCACCTCCGCCTCCCAGATTGTTAGGATTATGGGCATGAGCCACTGTGCCTGGCTAAAACTATTTACTACATAGGTGAATTCCTACCTTCCTTTTGAATCTGTGGTGTTCACGATGCTGGCACCTAATGTATCAATCAACATCTCAGCAGCACCTTCGTTGTCATTTATCCTGTGTAAGGTAACAAGGTGATCACTCTCACAGCAATGGTGTATTTCTTGAAACACTCAAACCAAATCTGATTCATTCTGGCTTTACTTACACGGCACAATGCAATGGACTAAAGGCATTTCCTTCTGTTTTCTGGAAAACTTCCTGCTCTAAAAGAAGTTCTACACATGTCTCATGACCTAAATAGGTATAAATAACCAGATATTAAAATTCAAAGGAGATACTGGCAAAAATCACAGACACACATAAGTGTTTAAAGGAAAAATGTAAAAGTCTCTCTCCCATCCCATCTCCCAGGTCCCCTCTCTGGAATATAGCCACTGGTAGCTTAACAGCTACTAGTAGTTTCAGAAAACTTCTAGGCATATACAACTGCACACACAGAAATACATATAGTTGGCTCTCTGTATCCATGGGTTCTACATTCATTAATTCAACCAACCCCAAATTAAAAATATCTGGGGGAAAGAAACAGAGCAGACTTTTTTCTTTTGTCATATACCCTAAATACAGCATACCAATTATTTACATATTTACCTACCATTTACATTACATTGGCTATTATAAGTAATCCAGGCTAGGCGCAGTGGCTCACGCCTGTAATCCCAGCACTTTGGGAGACCAACATGGTTAAACCTCGTCTCTACTAAAAATACAAAAATTAGCTGGGTATGGTGGCAGGCACCTGTAGTCCCAGCTACTTGGGAGGCTGAGGCAGGAGAATCGCTTGAACCCGTAAGGCGGAGGTCGCAGTGAGCTGAGATTGCACCACTGCATTCCAGCCCGGGCTAGAGCAAGACTCTGTCTCAGAAAAAAAAAGTAATTCAGAGACGATTTAAAGTGTAGTAGAGAAATGTGCATAGGTTATATGCAAATACTATCTCATTTTATATAAGGGACTTACTTGAGCACCTGTTGGTTTTGGTATTCACAAAGGGTCCTGGAAACCAATCCTCAACAGCAAATGAGAGATGATTGTCTTTCTAGCTTTTTTTTAAAATGGCAGTGGGATGTTTAATTCTGTAACTTGTTTTTTACTTAACTATACATATCCTT